GTGTTTTCTTGCTTTTTGTACCTTCTAATTTTTTCCGAAGCATCTTCCTTAATTTTCTAATGTTTCTACCATTTTTTCTTTCAGTCTCTATTATTCTCTACCATTTTGTTTTTTTACTGACTCTATTACCTTTCTAAAAGACAAAATTTTCAAGCAAAAAAAAAATCATTCGTAAAATGGTAGAATAATGAGAAAAATAACAGGGACGCTAAAAAAAGAAAATGGCGCGTAGAACGAAAAGTTGCACGAGGGGGGTTCCCGCGAGGCGCAAAATTGCACCGCGACGTTCCGACTTGCTTCCGCGATCGTCATGAGCTTTCGACAAGTGCATCACCGCACCCGGCGTTCGGCTGTTTTAATTATGACGCACTTCGGGCATATTACGCCAACCCGTCCGTGGCGTGATGCCGAAAATACGTCGATGAAAGACGTGCGATGACGCTCGAAAGCCAGGTCGGCCCCGAACGGAATTACATTTTGTGTAACCCGAATAAATCGCGGCGCGGACGCTTTTGTTGTTTCGATCGTGAATCGTTTCACGCCGCGATTCGATTGTTAATTGCGAAAACGCGTGTGTGGCGACGATCGTCCCTGAACAGAGAGGAAAAGAAAGAGAAAAACAAGATGAGTTACGAGCTTTTTCAATATGTTATCAATATGTATGTAGATTCGTATCGATGCGACCAACGCCGACCGTCGAGTAAATTCAATTTCAGCCGAACGAAAAAGCGATACCGTCGAGCTGGCGTCGAACATTACGCGAATACGATTGTTTCTCATTTTTTGGCTCATTGTATTGGAGAAGTGAAACACAGTCACGCATATGTCGGGATACGATGTTACGTTGTTAAAGTTTCCTGCGAGTTTCAGCATTATTGTTGACTATGATAATCGGGGCGGATAGGAATTTTTGCCTGATCATTTTACTCAAGGCGAACTGAACTAGATCTAACTGGTTTCTTTTCTTTTTTCTTTTTAATGGAAACATTCGATGATTATAATTGTTTAGTCTGTTTAAAATTGAATTGCTTGGTTTTAAGGAAATTGTAGATAAAAATAATAGAAAATGTTTTACCGGTGTTAGGTTAGAATTGAATTTTAGGTAGAAATTGAAGTTGTTTCGTTGAGCACGTTAAAGTGTACAATCGTGAATTGATTTTTTTAAATACTTGTACTAATATACTGGAAATAACGCAGTATGCAGCAGAACAACGTTCCACACAAATTATACATGTAAATAGCATACAGGCAGACTAGTATTAAAATAATTAGACAAAAACAAAACAATTACATGAATAATACAAATTAAGATAGCTACACTAAGTGAAAAAAGTGTCCGTACATCTCATTAGAATTTATTTTGCGTTGTATAATTTCAACAGAGGAGATAGGACGTAACGTTTACTATTAGTACAAGGAAAAATGATTTACATTCGTTTGTTAACAATTAAACTAAGGAAAAAGAATAACGTAAAAGAAACAAGATAAACAAAATTTCCGTACAATGCCTAAGAATTCAGGAAAATTTGTACAAACATAACCTCAAACACAAATACAAGTTAATTTCTTGTTTAAAAGCAAGTAGAAAAGAAGTTAGTCAAAATATTTTTCTTATATTTACTTTTTTAATTATTATTTTTGTACTAATAGCAAATGTTACGTTTCTAAATAAAATAACGCAAAATATTATTTATTCACTATTTCCTCTGTTCAAATTATGCAACGTAGAATAACTTTTTCACCGAGTGTACATTTGTCGGTAACAAAGGACTGTTCTTCATGTTTAAAATTTTCCGAATGAAACTAACCGCCAGACGTTTGAAAATTTTCCGATTCAAGTATATGTCCTGAGAACGCGAAACAAAATGGAATTTATTCAAATTTATTTTTACCGGTAGGAAAAAGTAGGTAACACGAGTATCCTTCGGCGAAGCGACTACATTAGACACAAAAAATAACACAGACGATGGTTCAATTGAATAAAAACGCGTTCATCAATGACACTATAAATTGTTACTTGTTACATCTACTCTATTACCCGCCATTATCCGTCCTTAACCGTCGTTTCCAACGAGATTTTTACCTGTCTACGATCGTGGGCGTAACCAACCGGAATTACATACGGACGAGTGCCCTTAAATTATTACAAACGAAATAACATTCGTAAATGTCAAACGTTTCAACGCGTGCGAACGCTGCAGCACAAGTTTCTTTATGAGCATAACGCTATTACAGCCCTATGCGGGAAGTCTCTGTGTAACCTTTACCTAACATGCGACAAGTACGTTATATCGACATTCATGAATATTTCATTTTCCAGCATAGAACTACCGATTATACCGGGATACACGTGGAAAAGAGTAGTTGCAGATATCGACAAATAGATGGCGAAATAAACGACGAATTTGAAGAAAAATATTGGTCATATATCGATATACAATCGATCGTATGATTATTCGTAAATATATCTATCTATTGCATGTAAAACACTGAATACGTTTTCTGATGGATTAAAAAGAAACGATGGTTCAAAGAGTATGGGATATAACCTTAAATTATCACCCTTACGATTATTCTAAATTTTCCGTCTAATTCGGTTTAGGAAATGGTATTTGTTTTATGTGCTTTAGTGGCAAAAATGTATGATTCTTTTTTTAAGGAGGAAAAACGAAACTGTTCTCTTTGCGTCGTTGATCTTCGAAAGTAAAATAGTCTAAGAAAACTAATAAAAGTTGAAGTACTTGCCTATGAATTTCAGATTAGTAAAACCACGTAATACCAATTTATGACGTACGTACTCTCGAGTTTAAAAATAGTTTACTATTTCATCGCAATTGGAATGCATACGTTTGTTACCGACGAATAATTTCACGAGTGATTCACAACATATAAGTTGAATGCACAAAGAAGTAGTTTTTCTGTTTATACTGCGAAGTATAGGTTATATTTACGATAAGTATGATACAACGCAATCGAAATACTCAACGTTCTATTGTTAGTGCTTTTCTTTTAAGTTGACATACTGTCTAATCGGAAGCATTGATAACGAAATTGATCAGCTTTTGATAAAGATTAAAGCAAAAGGACAACAGCACGATATCGCGTCTCGTAACCTACCGCAACAAATGGAATACGTGCCGTCTTGAACACGCACGATTGGCTGTTTTACGTTCCGAAATGTTCCCCACTCTTGATACCGCAAAAAAAAAAACCGCCTAATCTTAATATAACTCACGAAATAGGTGACTCGCATGCTGTTAAAAAATGCTTACGGTAAAAAAACTTCGCTTTGACGTCAATTCTTCAAAAAAGGTTACCAGTATTTGCTAGAATTATCTACGATCGCCGATGACCGGCCGATCGTCAAGTTGCTGACGATCGTCAGAAAAGGAGTTATCTTACACAGATAACGCGAATTGAAAATAGTATATAATTTATATAATCGTCTGTCACACGATGAAGTATTTCAATCGCGACGTATGTCAAATAGAATGATATCGGGTGAATTCTTATGGATAAGAGTACTGTAATTTTCTTCGAAAACTGTATCAGAGTTGACAAATGCATCACCTTCGTCGTGTTATCCATATTTCACTTTCTCTTGGTCGCAAATTGCACACGGAATCTCGTTAAAACGACGGATCGAATTGTGTTGGCCGCATACACGTAACCACCTTAGTCAGCATGCTGCGTTTAACAACCAAAAAATCATTCAAGGAAAGACGAAAGAGTGAGAGAAGAGTAAGAAGAAGAAGAAGAAGCTAACTTATTCAACCACGTGGTGGCACACGAGCTATTTGCCTTGCAATTACACCCAGGAACAATTAACGATGAGACGATAGTAGCACGTACGTTGACGTCAATTGTCGGAGATAACGTCTGCGCGCGCGCGTGCACACGTTCCGTAACAGTGTTGTGCGGGAATCTGGTGGGGAAGACGATGAAAGGGTGGTGGTGGTGGTAGTGGTAGAGTTCGCTAAGAATGGCTGGGACGTAGACAAGGGGTTGGGGAGGGGTAGAGAGAGAGAGAGAGAGAGCGAGAGGGACTGGGCCGGTGACTCTGGCATAGCAGGGGGGTAGCAACATGGCCGTCGGTCAGTCGGTATCGAACCGTCGCATTACGCGAAGCTCCTACGACCCCCGTCGTAGGAACGCCGCTGCTTTAAAACGAGATTCGGAATCTCATAAACGTGAAGGACGACTTCTTACCAATGGCATCGGCTTTCCGACCTTACGTACCCATTGAGGTCGGCAGCGTCAGCGCGTTTCTTTCGCTTTAAAGACGGTTCTACCGGTTCGGGACGTGTCATACCCGGTAATTCGAGAGAGGATCGAATGTAAGTAGCGAACACTTGTCAACCAGCGTACCTGCGTTTCTTTGCTGTCGTGCTCGTGAATGGAAACGATAAACCGTTTTTGGATAAGTTTGTAGATTTCAGTGTTCTTCACTTGGCCCTTTTTCACATCGGTGCTCTTTTTTTTTCTTTCTTTCTTTTATCGTCTTATCGAGGACTATCGACGGGTATCGATCCTGGACCCGTCGATAGGCAAGAGGTCTTTGTCGATCCATGACGTCAGTCGAGAATACCTATTGTACTTGTTGCAGGAAGCTTTTACACTTTTGCGAAGAAGGTTCCTTTGGAAGGTTCTTTCTTTCGCTTTTTGTATTTTTGCCGAGAATAACGATGTTACTTTAGCCTATATGCTCCGCGTATAGACGCGTGAACGATTCTCGTTGACAACCTTTCTTTCGATCGGCAAATCGTACTGAAACTTCTTATCTTTAAAAACTTCTGGCTTGATCTATATATTTACACACGGAATTGTATTATGCATTGACAGAAAGAAACAATGAAACATTGTAAAATTTAATAAGTTATTTGAAGTATAATGAAAAACTGTTCAGAAAGATTATGTCGTAATAGATATTTGAAAATACTTTTCTTTTTTCTTTTCAGTAATTTCAAATAATTGTAAGATATATTTAAAGTAAACAATAATTTGAAATTATTCATAAATAAAAATGGATTCTGGCGTGAGTCAAGGAAAAAAACAAATTCGTGTAGGATTTTATGATATTGAAGGCACCATTGGTAAAGGAAACTTTGCTGTGGTAAAATTAGCTAGACATCGTATTACCAAAACAGAGGTAGATATAATTTATCAAAACATATGCCTGCTGTCACTTTTATATTTAGTATTTTTTCCTTCTTTTATTAAAAGTTTAACATATCTTTTTTAGGTTGCTATTAAAATAATTGATAAAACACAATTGGATCCTACCAATCTTGAAAAAGTTTATAGAGAGGTAGAAATAATGAAACAATTAGAACATCCACACATTGTTAAATTATATCAAGTTATGGAAACAAAGAATATGATATATATGGTATGTTATATAATTCTTCTAAATAAATTTAAGAAATTCAAGACAATTGTATTTTCATACTTTTTTTTTCCAGGTATGTGAATATGCAAGCAAAGGTGAAATATTTGACTATATTGCACGATATGGAAGAATGGGAGAACCCAGAGCTCGTGCAACATTTGCTCAAATACTTTCTGCGGTTGAATACTGCCATGCAACGGGTGTAGCACATCGTGATCTCAAAGCTGAAAATTTACTCTTGGATGCTGAGATGAATGTTAAGATTGCTGACTTTGGCTTTAGCAATAGATTTTCACCTGGTGAAAGGTTAAGTACATGGTGTGGTAGTCCCCCGTATGCAGCACCAGAGGTTTTTCGAGGGAAACATTATGCTGGTCCTGAAATTGATGTGTGGGTAAGCAATTTATATTTATTTAATTCAACTTACATTCCTTTTGATGTGCAATATTTAATGAAACAACTTTAACACACTATTTTTTTTTATTATTACAGAGTTTAGGTGTTGTATTATATGTATTAGTATGTGGAGCACTGCCCTTTGATGGATCTACCCTTCAATCTTTAAGAGATCGTGTTTTGAGTGGAAGATTTAAAATTCCATACTTTATGAGTACAGGTATGTTTCACAGCATATGATCTTTTTAAAAATTCGAATTAATTATTAGTACTAGGAATAAATTCCAACTTTTGTTGCAGATTGTGAAAGTTTAATACGTAAAATGTTAGTTTTGGAACCTGCAAAACGATATACCATTCCACAAATAAAGAGACATCGTTGGATGGCTCTATCTCCAGACAGTATTTTATCAATGATCATAAGAAGATCATCATCATCCATCCAAGAACCAAATGAACAAATACTTCGACTTATGCATAGTTTAGGCATAGACATTACACGAACTAGAGAGGTACTTTTTAACATGTATTGCTATTTACAAAATTCTATGATATAAGTCAAATACTTTACAGTTATTAACATAAAATTTTTATCTGTTCCAGTCTTTAAGGAATAGTAGCTATGATCATCATGCAGCTATTTATTTCTTGTTGTTAGAAAGGTTGAAACAACATCGTGTCACCAGCACAGCATACAATGCCTGCTGGCCTAATGTTGCAGGAACAAAAGAAGACAAATTCAAATCAAGGTACATTTATTTAATTAATATTTTATCAATCTTTATCATTTTTATATTAACACATGTTTACAAAGTTTTAATTAAAGTAATGTTGTACTTGACTTCCAATCCTGCCCGTCACGAAAATTTTGAAAAAATTAAATGTTAATCATACAATTTTTATTTACAGCGATAGCTTAGTGGAACGTTGATCTTTATTGACGGTGAAGCATGTATTGAAGATTTTGTCAGGACAGGTTGGATTGGAAGCGCTTTGCTGTCACTTTATTTTTGGTAATTCTTTCATTTTATTTCATTGCTTTCCTTTTATTTTGAGTTCCAATTTCTTATCATTGAATATACTGCTTTATTCTTATATTGATGTGTTGTATAATTTCTGGTATAATTCATTGAATCATACTCATAATTTCACCTATTTTTATATATGTTCATAAAAGTACAAATGATGCAGCAAATAGGAGAACCAAAGTATTATATAATAAGCAAATCTTCGTAATTGAAAATCACTCATCTGTCACCATAACATTTTTTATGTGATAAAATAGTTTTGGATGAATGCATTATGTATTTATTTCTAGGACAAGAGAAGACGCAACTCGAGGAGGAAAAAGGTTTAGTTCAACTAGTTCTTCAACTGATGAAGGATGCTGTAGTGCAGAAGGTGATTTGGAGGAAGGTCCAAGTGGTGATGAATTGAGAGAAGCTCAAATAAAACTTGAGGAACATAGACTAGGCCTAGATCATGATATCAGTCAACGAATTGACAGTCAGATAGTCAATCGAAGATTAAGTGATTATCAACAGCATTTTGATACCCCACTTATGGATTCTATTGATCCTCCTAGTCGAACGACATTATTTATTGCGGGTGGTAACGGTAGTTCATCATCCGAACTTTTTGAATCCAGTTTTGACTCTGGTTGTCCGCCAGATTACTCAGGAGCAAATTCATTCACAAGTAGCTTGCCCTCCTGCACACCTCCACCACCTCCATCGCCAATGACTGGTAAATTGTCAAGAGTTTCTAAAGAACGAAGAGCTTCTGATAGTGGACCTAGATTACTGTTTTGTCAACAAGGTGGTGGAGACAGACCGACTAAGCAGCGAAGTATTCAAGGTATTAAAATATAAACACTCGTTTCAGTTGTACGAATTCTTTTGTCGCAAGATTGAGACAAACTTTTTTGTTTTAATAGATTCTGGTAAAGCTAGAGGTCATTTAGATCTTGTTCATTTGAAACCACCATCTACTCCATCAGAAAATCAACAACAATTTAAAATTCGAGACTCCAGTACACAGTTACAACTACTAGTTCAACAACGTATGTTGCAACAAAAACGAAATTTATACCATCGACAAAGAGGTGGAGGAAGTCCAACTCCAATACCGGTATCAACGAGTAGCACGAGTAGACGCACTGACCATGTACCAAGGCAAGACAGTTATAAATTAGCTCAAAGAACACAGATCTTACCACCTTTATCTCAGGGACACGTTGATAGAGACTTTGATAGAGAAAGAAAACAAGATGAAGAAAGATGGAAAAGTCTACCATCTCGACTAGCAGCAGATTGTCAGTTAGCTGAAAGTACACTGCTGTGGAGCCAACAGGTAATTCTATAAATAGAAATTTAAAAAATCGTTTAGGTTGAACTGCCTAATAAAAAAGTTATCGGGCCGAAATAAAAGAACACAAAATAATTCGTTGGTATCAGTCCAACGATCATGACGTCATTCAAATCGTGCCAAAATTGCGTACATATACTCGAACTGAAACATAGAGTATTATGTTATTGTTCCTCTTTCATAATGTTAACATTGTTGTGAGCGTGCATCATGTTTACAACAATGTATTGATGTAAATATTATTAGTATTGTTTATGATATTAGCAATTAGACGTTATTTGTGATATGAAAGCACAATTATTTGTGTTAGATGCAAATAAATAATTATTTTTCTTTAATTTGGCAATCTATTGTTCTCTCTAATTTGCCTTTCTTCGTGCATGTACCAATCCTCAACTGAACATCAATGTACAGTTAACAAAAATAGTTTTTTTTTTTTTTTAAGATTTGGCTACTATTTACATGTACCACCGCACTTACATTGTTAATATATGGGCGTCAAAACAAGAAATACAAAAAATAAAGTTCTGTTTTGATAACTGTGCAATACAATTGTAAATAGTTACTTCTTTGCCTGTTAAATATACACTTCAAAACAACACTACGAATGCACCAATACACAATTTAACAACGCAACTGAAGGAATTTATATAGCATAACTATGACTGAAGAACCTTTGAACAATACAGTGTTGAACACCTAAACGTTAAGCTTGGGAAATGCATATCATTTGTAGCACCTTTCCCTTATTTGGCTTTCTAGATTTTATTTGTTAACATTTTTTAATAAAAATATTGAACACTGAAATTACGTACAAAATGTAAATAATTTAAAGAAGAAAATATATCAGGTGGGCCTCAGTGGAGGAGCGTCATATTTGCCACCTGGCAGTGTAGGTGGCTTCTTATGGCCCACTGGAAGCAACCCTCATTCAACCATCTTCGAAAATGTGGGGGATCCAATGGAATGAACATCTACCATGTTGTACTTTTAGTGTTGGAGATTTTGAGTCTGAAAGACTAGACTAGATACATGAAATATAATAAGCAGTATTGCCTTCCTAGTCTTTCCATATCAGTATTTTTATTTACATAATTATGTATTTTATTATACCTATTTTCTAAGTATTCAAGAAGAATGTTGTATAAATTTCTTTGTAGAACCGTTTCCTCCATGATATTCTAGCTTTCATACGCAAAATCTTTGATTAAATGGAAGGTACATGTTACTAAATGCCAAAGATTTGTTCCTCTTCAATAATTCGTTTTTCCAAGATATATGCTTTAAGCGTCATACTTTATCACATATCTTTATACATTCATATACTTCATTCATGGAATAATTACATATATCATATGTGTATAACAAAAATGTACCATTGTTAAAAATCTTTGTCATGTAGTAGCATGTGCACCTGCCTTATTAATTGGCTGATTTTATCAGTCAAATATCCAATTATATCATAGACTGATAATTAACAAGAGAAAACACCAACCAAGTTTATATTCATGAGCAAGTGGCATATGTTTTGCTTTATAATAGCTATGTTTAATTGGAAGTACAACATGTATATGGATGCATACTTTAATAATAATTAATGAAGAGTGCTTTTGATGTGCTTCCTGAATACATTTCAGTAAATTATCATATGTTGTTGACATTGTATTCTGTATACATCTCTTATCTTCATGTTTTAATCCAATAAGACTAGACAATATTATATAATAAAAATCAATCTGAACTTCTTAATTAATTGATGAATTTGAAAACAGTTATTTGAGATAAATAAACGAAGTACTAGATTCAGAATAAAATTTAGAAAAAGAGAAGAAAAATTAATACTCATTTTAAATAAAAGAACAAAGTAAATATGCATAAATATGTTATGGTGGAAGATAGAATCACAATAATCTTTAATTTACGAAAATGCTTGAAATAAAGTTTATCTAGAACTAACTGCAAGAACTATGCCACTTATGCTTTTCTATACAATTTATCGAAGAGTGGAGTTATTACATGAACGAAACCACGTTAAAGTTTTTTGTTATACATTTTTATTGATAAGTATTCTAATAATGTTGTACAAACCTAGGTGTTTCATCATTCCACTCTTCATTATGATCGTTATAGCGAATTAAGAAATAATAAAAACAATAAATAGTGATAAATAGTAGCTGCTGTTTAAAAAAAAAAAGTGCTGCATTCTGTAAAGATGTTTAAATAAAATTGTTGTACACATAATATTGAACTAAAGTAATGACTGTTTACATTTTGGATTATGCGTTTTGTATGCGTTATTATTTTTTATATAAAGTACAAGCTGCGTCAATACTTATTGGTAATACATCTTACATTAATATTAGTACATTGTTATCATTTTACTTCGTACGAAAAACTAAGTAGTTCTCTTTATGAGCCTTTTGCATAATCGTTATTGAATGGGGAAGGAAGGGATAAATAATAACTTATACCTGTTTGTACATTTTGATACGAATACAGCACTTTTTAAAGCAAATATGTATTAGATTCTGGTAGTCTAGTCAGTAGGAAGCAATACCGGCCGCGCACAACTGACAACGACTTTAATATTCAAATTTTCCGCCATTTTTTACCCAACAAAAACAATCAAACTTCGCTCAAAAAATCTTTTGATAAGTAAAAAAATAGCTGTTAAGTTAGTATAATCATGTGAGATCTTGTTCCGGCATATTGTCCACGAAAGGACATTCCAAAAACGATTTAAAACAAACTCAGGAATTGAAAATTAGTTTTGGCACTGTTACATATTTCCATATGTCTTTTTTGAAGTGATGAACTTCAAAATTGCATGAAATAGATATGATTTATAAATGTGTACCGTTGATTTACTAGTACATTATTTTATTTCATTGAGGTACCATTAAATTTTGCAAAATCATTTTTACGAGTAAAAATGTTTGCAAAACTTACGTAACGTAAAATTATTGTTTGACGATATACTGTCCAAGTAACACGTACAGGTACTTTGTAAAGTAATTATTTACCGTCAAATAATAACATATTAAACAATTTTCTATAAGAACCTATAATTTCTTATTCTATAAGAATAATGAAAAACTAATAAAAACGTGCAATACATTCCATTCACAGATGAAAGTGTGTTTTTGTATTTATAACAAAATTAACTATTTTATATCTAATTTAATATATGATTTCCTTAAAGTCACATATGATGGTAAATAATTGCTATTTATAAATTGCAGGACTGTCATCAAGTGTATGCATTGTGCGTATGAGCATATTGAATAAAACATTATACAAACTGTAATGTTAGAGCTACTTTATTTGTATATAAACTTATTTAAACACAGTATTTAAAAAAAAAAATCCTTTAATTTACATTTATTTTAACTGAAATATTTAATACAACTGAACATTATACTACTTTAGCTTGGAACAGATCTGTGCCAGTTTGATCAGCACGATTCTTAGCTTCTTCAGCTGTCATTTTTTCATTTTCACTAGGATTTAATGGTTGACCATTTTCATCCAGTTGACAATTTTTATAATCTTCTTTAATTTTATCAGCATATGTTAAATAAAATAAATCTTTAGCAGTAAATTCACGCTTGGTAAACTGTGGAACCCTATAAGACACATATGGTTTTAAGTGAAAATCTTTCAGATCAGGCACAATAAGTTCTGGTATCATTTCTGGTATGTTAACCCATTTGTCATTTTCCCACTTTCCGGTTAATTTTAATCCTCTTCCTATAAATACATATTAACCATCATACAAATTATTACTTGCAATTATCATAATTACAAAGGAAGAAATACACGTAATATTTTTTTAATTTATATTTCTACGCCATATGAAGAAAATTAACAAATACTTACTATCAATTGGAATATCGCAATGCAGATTTTTAGCTCGTTCTTCTTTAAATTGCCGACTACCCCGTTTGTTGTAAAGTTGAATCATTCGAAAATTTCGTTTACCACGAAATACTGTCGACGTTGAAATTTGTCGATATATAATCAAGCACTTAGATGCCATCGTAATTTTCTCATATAAAAGTGGTTTCAATCGTATATAAAATTCTTAAACAATAATAAGCTACGTTTCGTAAACCAATAGAGAATTGTTTCAATAGGTTATACTTTGCGTCAGTTGTACTGCAACAACATGAAATCGCTTTTATTCGATAAAAATTATATTTTCTTCTCTTAATATGTTGTCACTCATAAATAATAAACAATTTTAAATTCAATGAATACATGACAATGTATGTTGCGCCTTCTCACAAAATTTTCTAAATAAATGTAAATTATAAAATGTTTCTAATATAAGCTATTAATTTTTAATTACGAATTCTAACTCATACCTTGTTAAAATTACACATACCATACAATTTAAAGTAGCAAAATTAAATAATACGTATTTTATGTAATTTATTTTGATTTAAAATCTTTTTGTTATTTGATAAGATAACTTTAGGTCCGTATTTCGTGAAGCAACGTCGTCATATTTTCTTGTATGTATGCTGGTCTAGACAATTCATAATCAGTGATTTAAGTTCATTTATATAAAAAGCTCTATTTTTTTGGCAAACTCTAGATAAGTGTTTGTAACCTAAGCCCATAAGGAAATAGAGTGACAGGTGTTATTTTTATTTAAGTTGAATAAGTATTTAGACTGTTTATTGTAGCATTAAAATAATTAAAATTTATTATTGTATACTTCTTGAATGTACTTTTGTAAATTTCATGAAATATAGACGTATCGTATAAGTAATACAATTTTATTTATTTCACGATATAGTATCTGAGTTTTGAAACAATAATTCTTTTAAAACAGGAATCATGTCTGCAAGCGTATCACATACGGAAAAAGAATTAGATTTAAGTAATGCTGGTAGAGGTGTATGGCTCGTTAAAGTACCTAAATATATAGCAAATAAATGGGAAAAAGCACCTGGCAATATAGAAGTTGGTAAATTAAAGATAACGAAGTAGGTGTTTAATTGTAGTAATATTTTACTATTGTAATTTTGCAAAAAAATTAAATTTTGATTACATTATTAGAAACCCTGGTCAAAAGGCAGAAGTATCTCTTAAATTATCAGAAGCTGTTTTAGCTTTAAAAGAACCTGGAGAAGAAGAAATTCCAAAACAACATAGATTAGATGTTACAACAGTAACAAAACAAATGTTAGGTGTATTTTCTCATGTTACACGTAAGTTACTATAATAAAGTTTTGAAAGGTATTTTCTTGAATGTGTTTTGCATATTTATATTGTTTTCAGCTTCGAGTAGTTCAGATTCTATAGTTCCAGAAACTGAAAAACTTTATATGGAAGGAAGGATTGTACAAAAATTAGAGTGTAGACCATATGGTATAATTTATATTTTCAAATACTTAAAAGATCTTATTAAAGTACAAATAATACGTGATATAACTAACAGACATTTATATTTTTTTTAGCTGATAATTGTTATATGAAATTGAAATTACAAAGTATTAAAAGAGCCTCTGTACCACAAAGACAAGTCCAGCAATTAGACAGAGTAGTCCAAAATTTCAAGCCTATTTCTGATCATAAGCACAATGTACGTGCTTCATTAAGATATTTAAAAATGAAGTATATTTGTATTATAATGTAGTTTATTATATCACACAAATGTATTACCTCCTCTGTAGATTGAATATGCAGAAAAGAAAAAGGCTGAAGGTAAAAAGATGAGAGATGATAAGGATGCAGTATTGGATATGTTATTTGCTGCATTTGAAAAGCATCAGTATTATAACATTAGAGATCTTGTTAAAATTACAAGACAACCTATTGTAAGTGGCATTTTTTTTTAAATGTTTACAAACATACGTTTATATTAACGTATATTTACGTGTCCGCATCAATTTTAATTGTTATTTATTCTTTTGTCTTACTAGGTATATTTGAAGGAAATATTAAATGAAGTTTGTAATTATAATTTAAAAAATCCTCACAGAAACATGTGGGAATTGAAGCCAGAATACAGACATTACAAAGAAGAAGAAAAACTTTCTGAAAATACTCAAAAGAAAACTGATGAATCAGATGATGATTAAAATTAATGATATTTGTACATGTTTCTTTTTTCTGTTTTTCACTTACTTAAAATGAAATAAAAAATTAAGTTTTTATATTATTTTAAATTTGAAGCTGAACAGAAGAAACA